TTTATGCAATTTACGAAATTATATTTGATTTATATGAGTTAATTTAGACGTATTACACGTTTTTATAGAGTTACTTCCTTGCGTTGACAATTTAAATGCGCTGCATTATTTTGCTCATTGAGCCAATTAGACCTATACAATAAAGACCTATTTAATCTGCATATAAAACATTAGAAATTAGATATTTGTTTCATTTTTATTGTGGTTGACTGTTAAAACAAAAAATATTTGTTGTTTGTCTCAATAAATTGTGTTAATTATAAATACAGTGGTTAAATTTAAGCATTTTTTTTTATTGCTCTTTGTTTTAAAAAGGTTATAAGAAATGTCAATAATTATCGATACCGAACGATATGAAACATTATATCGTTGATACATTTTTTAGCTATGTCGCCCAGCCCTATCTGGCCCTAGCTGTATTTCTGCTGTGTAATATCCGTATGGTGTTGAGAAGAGCGCGAGCTGAAATGTGTTGAGTAAGTGGACTGACTCTGGTCTCAGTCGTGAGTGTTTTCTCTGATTATCTGAGGAGAGCGGCAGTGTGTCTCTGACTCGTCTGATCGCTGCAGGTGTGATACTCAGCTCTGTTACTGTCATGTGGACATCAGGAAGATGACAGACTGATGATTTCTCAAACAGGGCTCCGGGGGCCACTAGAGGGCCTCGGCACACGTCCAAGTGCCACAAGAGGACTTAATATTTACTTAAGACAAGCATTAAAAAAAGTGTTGATGTATATCTTTATTAATATTTTTTTAATTAATATATTTTATATTTTTAAATATACAAATCAGTTGTTTATTTAAAGTGTCTGTATATAATATAATGTGTGTAATATGTATATGTAATTTAAAAAATATATTTTCTGTTCATTTATTTTTCTTTCTTTTCTTTTTTTCTCTCTTTCTTTCTTTCTTTCTCTCTTTCTTTCTCTTTTTTTTCTCTTTCTTTCTTTTTCTTTCTCTCTTTTTTCTCTCTTTCTTTCTTTCTTTCTTTTTCTTTCTCTCTTTCTGTCTTTCTTTCTTTCTCTCTTTCTTTTTCTTTCTTTCTCTTTTTTTCTCTCTTTCTTTCTTTCTTTTTCTTTCTCTCTTTCTTTCTCTCTTTTTTCTCTCTTTCTTTCTCTCTTTCTCTCTTTCTCTCTTTTTCTTTCTTTCTCTTTTTTTCTCTCTTTCTTTCTTTCTTTTTCTTTCTCTCTTTCTTTCTCTCTTTTTTCTCTCTTTCTTTCTCTCTTTCTCTCTTTCTCTCTTTTTCTTTCTTTCTCTTTTTTTCTCTCTTTCTTTCTTTCTTTTTCTTTCTCTCTTTCTTTCTCTCTTTTTTCTCTCTTTCTTTCTCTCTTTCTCTCTTTCTCTCTTTTTCTTTCTTTCTCTTTTTTTCTCTCTTTCTTTCTTTCTTTTTCTTTCTTTCTTTCTCTCTTTTTTCTCTCTTTCTATCTTTTTTCTCTCTTTCTTTCTTTCTCTCTTTCGCTCTTTCTTTCTTTCTTTCTCTCTTACTTTCTTTTTTTTCTCTCTTTCTTTCTCTTTCTTTCTTTCTTTTGGTCTTGGAAAACTTGGATATATGCAAAAGCCTAAGATTTTTAAATCTAGATTAGAAAATCAATTAATAAAATATTAAAACAGCTTGGGTATTTTTGTTATGAATATATATTTTATTGCATAGAGTAAAAATATATATTTTTGAATCCTTGTCCAGTAAATGATGAACAACTAGAACAGTCATGTAACTTATTTTTTTTAAATGTTCAGAAACCCTGAAGAACATTCAGCTCTCGAAACTGAAATGTAAAAGATTTGTTATAATATTAACACATTTGGTTGCATGTTTCTAAATGTGGACACTCCTATTTTTTGTACATTTAAAAACCTTTTGCGACGCGATCTCAGTGGCAGTGTATCAGGCTGCTGTGTGTGCTAGCGTGTGAAGATCAGTGTTTCGTGTGTTCAGTCATTAATCACTGGATCAGAGTCTCGTCAGTCCGGACAGAAGCGCTGTGACTCACAAACTCTCCCATCCTCCGGCTCTGTAAACACGTCTCCGTCTTTCATCAGGACAGACTACACCTTCATGTTTATGCTTGATTGAGTTTTTATTTCCACAGATGTCACACTCAGGTTTTCCGTTTGAAACATCTTGCTGTTCATTTCTTAAGAAGTCTTGCTCATTTACATACCAGTGTTATTTTAGTATCATTGAGATACTGTTATTCTTTTTATGTTTTCTATTTAAATTTTAAAGTTTTAGATTTTTAAGTAGATTTTTTTATTTTACATTTGTCTATGTAGTTTAAAAAAAAATGTTATTAGAATTTTTATTTTTATTTTAAAGTTTTAGAAATTTTTATTAGATTTTTTAATTTGTATTAATTGTTTTTATTAATTTTTAAAATTAGTTTTTGTTTATATTTTTTTTATTTTGTTTATATTTTTTATTTTAACTAAAGTTATGTTTTGTAGAGTAATTTGTCTATAGTTTTTATTAATTTTTTTAATTAGTTTTTGTTTATATTTTCATTTTAAAGTTTTAGTTTTTTTGTATTTTTTTTTATTCATTTGATTTGATTAGTTTTTATTTTAATTTTAACGTTTTAGAATTTTGCTTGTCTTTTTAGTGTCTATGGTTGGTTTTTATTATTTTATATTTCAGTTTTAGTTTGTTATTTTAGTACTTCAAAATAAACTAAATGAAAATGAGTAATGTTGCCTTGACAACTAGATAAAATAAGTTTAATTTGAAGTTTAATTGTTTTTATATTTTATATGAACCTTTATTTTATTTCAAGTTATGAAGCGGTTATTTTGAATGGTTTTAGTTTCTGCCGCGTCTCTCGTGGTCTGATGGGTGGATGTGCAGTAATCTGACATGGCTGGTCTCTCTCAGGTCCTGTAGGTGATCCGTTGCAGATGAAGCCTGTGTTTGAGCGGCACGCGTTTGGGCTGAACCCCTGACTGCGGACAGCAGCCGGTCAGTTCTGATTTATCAATGCATCTCTGATGCTTGTTTTTATTCTGATGCTGTTCTGATTCAGTTGCTGTGCTGATGCTGTTCTAGCTCACGTTATGAATAACAGCCGTCAGAATGCATTCAGTACAGCCAGAGATCATGTTCGTTTAGTCAGGAGAGCGGTTAAACCACTTGACTAGTTACTGAAAGATTAATTAAAGTAAAACTGAAATCACAAAATGCCCTTGTGTAATTATCAAATCTTTGATTTAAGTAATTCTATGCACTTTTTTTTTTCTCAGCGTTCAGCATCTGTTAATAACATTGATTGCCAAAAATGTGCATATAAATATTTACATAAGGATATATGTAAATTTGTCAACAACCAACATTTTTTTTAGGTCACATTATAAGCTCTTTGGTTTAACATTTGGAAATTTAAAAAGACGACAAATATTAGTAGGTGTACTGTAAAATAAAATTATTATTTTCAAATACTACATTTAAATAGAAATGTTTAATTGTATAAAATTGTATAATATTTAATTGTGTTGCTTTAATTTAATTATTAAAAAAATAAATAATAAAAAAAAATTATTATACGTTTTACATTACAATGGTAATATTTTTTGTTGTGTTTAATTTTTATTTCATCATTTAACTATATATTTATATATATATGTGTGTGTGTGTGTGTATATATATATATATATATATATAGTTAAAATAATTAAATAAATTGTAAAAAATAACAGTCATATTGATTTTAGTGCTGTCAAACGATTAATCACATCCAAAATAAGTTTTTGTTTACATAATATACTGTATGTGTATGTACTGTGCATATTTATTATGTATATTTAAATACACACGCATGCATGTATATATTTAAGAAAAATATGTTATGTTCATATATTAAATATATTTATATATAATATAAATTATATGAACATATAGACTTAAATACATTTAAATATTTTCAAAAAATACACTGTATGTGTGTACATTTATATATACATAACAAATATACACAATACACACATATATTATGTAAACAAAAACTTTTATTTTGGAATTACAGTTTAACAGAGATTCACATAGAAAACTGCTGTTTGAAATCATAAAAATATTTCAAATTTTTCCTGTATTTTTGCAGAGCGATTTCTAATGATGCAGAGTGAAGACCGCAAGAGAAAGAAACACAGTTTGAACCCCAGAAGCGTGTCAGACGAGTACAGTCTGCGTGTGAGTACCCTGACCTCTGACCCCTGACCTCTGATCTTCAGTGACTCTCAGAACACACTGATGAGACTTTCTGCTTCCTCTCAGGAGCGACCGAAAGACGAAGCCACAAAGATGAAGAATAAAGTTTCTACTTCACAAGGCAGGAAACAGAATCTTCTTGCATGCTTTATAAAAACACACACTGTGCCGATGAGTCTGGCTTCATGTTATCTAGTGTGTCTAATGTTGCTCTGTATTTCATAGATGTTTTGAGCAGGCAGGGTTGATGTTTGCGTGTGTTTTCCGCAGCGGTGAGCGGCAAGAAGAAGCCGTGGTCCTGGGATCAGTATCTGGAGGACGAGCGATCTCAAGCCGCTCCTCTGCAGCTCTTCACTGAGGTACAGATTCACTCTCAACACAGCAAAATATCACTCTGATGCAGATTCATTTCAAATGAACGCATGAACAAATCCAGCATTAGGATGTTTTTAACTGAAATACATTGAGTCTATAATCCATAATAACGCTTCCTCCAGTGAAAACGTCCATCTGCTGTCGTCTCTCACATCAAAATCCAGCCACATATTATTTCTCTCCTGATTCAGACCAGAACACTTTTTCACTGGAAGAAGCGTTATTATGGATTATGGACTCACATTTTAGACATTAAAAATGTCTTAATGCTGGATTAGTTTCAGCTTTTGTCTTCTCCAGATGTTAACTGATGGACTGGAGTGCTGTGGATTATTGTGATATTTTTATTAGCTGTTTGGACTCTCATTCTGACGGCACCCATTCACTGCAGAGCATCCATTGCTGAGACACTGATGCAATGCTACATTTCTACAAACCTGATGAAGAAATTGCCTATTCCTTTGATGCATAAAATGAGTCTTTTAGTGCAGACTGTCCTGCACTTATGATGCTGAGGTCATTGGTTTGATTTCCAGTGAAAGCATGAACTGATCAAATTTATTGGCTTTGATTAGAAGCGTCTGCCAGATGCATAAATGTCATGACTGTTTTTAGAGAGACTAGAATGTAATGTAATAGTAGGCCAAATGCACTGAACCCCAGCATCGAGTCGTTCATTGTACAGATGCGATCGCCTCCAGCTGCTGTCTGCGTCGTGTGGAGCGCCGATGCTCTGATTGTTTCTGAAGGGATGCGACTGGTCTTCTGCTCCCCTCGGAAACACTGGAGGCGGTTGCCATGGCAACTCCTTGAAGATGTCCGCCGGTTCTTCTTGTCTCTGAGCGCTTGCGTTTTCTCTTCTAGTTCCAGGCGTTTCCCGACAGCAGGAATGGCTTTAAGGTGGGGATGCGGCTGGAAGGCATCGACCCGCTGCATCCGTCCATGTTCTGTGTGCTGTCTGTGGCCGAGGTCAGAAACTCTCTCGTCACTGCTGTTGCTCGCTCTCTTGCGCTCATTAAGCACTCAAAGAGTCGCCTGTATGTGCAATGCATTATAAAGGTATCCATAACGTGCATTGTAATGCATTACAGCATTGCATAAATAATTGTAACCAAAGTTAACATGCATTGGTTGTTTGTTGTGGTTTAATGCATTATCCTTTCTAAGGATGTAACTATGAATAGATAAGTGTTATAATGTATTATAACAATAATTCAAGGATCAAACAATGCATTATAATATGCATGACGACATAATTAATGCATGAAAAATAATTGTATAATGCATTGTGTGTATATATAAAGACTTTAATTAATGTGTTTACAAGATTTTGACACTTAACCTGCATGCATAATTAAAAGCATTACTTTGGTAGCACTTTATATAAAGCCTACACACACACACACACACACACACACACACACACATATATATATATATATATATATAAATATAAAATATTTTTGATGCATTAATTACACCTTGTAATGCACCTTATAATGCATTGTCTCTGATCTCATGAATAATTGTAACCACAGTTATAATTCTTATCTATTCTTTGTTACATCTTGAGAAAGTATAATGCATTAAAACACACGACAGACTAATTTTAGATGTAACAAGGAATATGCTAATATTATAATGCATTTATTTTTTGGTTACAGTAACTTATTTAAAAATATAATGCTTTACATTATACATACCTTTATAATGCATTATGCATAACGGCTTCGAGCAAACTGTAATCAATATTTTTAATGAAGTGAAAGTTTTTTTTTATTAAATATAAATTTCCTTTTTTAATGCATTTGGTTTTTGTTTGATGTTTGTATATACTTTTTATTTATTGAATGTTTCTGATGATGGATGTAGCTGTAGTCGTTGTCATGGCTTTAATTTATGAACAAAAAGCAGATGCACATGTATTCTTCAGAGAGGAGGCTGTCCCAGAATGCATTGCTGCAATGCATAAAACAATGTAGAAATGAATTGCTTTGAAGTTAAATGGATGATTTTTTCTGATCTGTTGTGTTTTTGTGCTTGTTTGGAGTATTGCCGGTGAGTGTAGCATCATGTTAACATGTCTGCTTGAGATTGAGATTCCTGTCGTTGTTGTTGAAGGTGATTGGCTTCCGTCTGCGGCTGCATATCGATGGTTACTCCGAGTGCTATGACTTCTGGGTAAACGCAGACGCTCCTGACATTAAACCAGCAGGATGGTGCGAGTCGACGGGACACAAACTCCATCCGCCCAAAGGTGCGTTAGTTCTGCTGCATTTTGGCTCCATTATCATCCTGTGCCTGCTGTTTGGTCTTCTGTAAGATAATAAACATGTCATCTAGATATGAGCTGTGACATTGAGAATAATAGATTAAATCCAGTATATGGAGCTGATGGGGGAATCTCATTAAAGCAGTACAGAAGATGTCTGGAGTCACCACAAAATTAGCAAAAAAAACCATATATATATTTATTAGGGCTGCACGATAAATTGCATGCGATGTTTAACGCGCATCTTATCATGCAGCCCTAATATATATATATATATATATATATATATATATGAGGTTTAAAAACCAGATAATTATAATAATAAAAATAACAGTTAATTTAATGTATTTCCTCTGAAACATCTGGTCATTTTAGGTAAATTTAGTTTAGATGTTTTTCTGGAAAAAAAATAATTGCACCATTTGTTGTACATTTTTCTGTTTATTCTGATTTAAATAAAAACATTTATTATTTTTATTCATTATCATTTTTATTCTTTATTTTTTATTGTTATTGTTAACTAAAGCTATTGAAAATCGTTTTCATTAATAGAAGTAAAGCTGAAACAAGAAATTAAACTGAAATTACTAAAATTACTGAAATGCTGAAATAAAATAAGGATAAATAGAAATATTAAAGAGTAAAAATAAAGCATGTGACAAAGTGACTAAAACTTCAATTACAATTTAAAAGTTAATTCAATAAATGTTCTCTAAAATATCTTTTTATTTATTATCTTTTTATTTTATTTTGCCTCATGTGAATTTGTCTTGTTTAAAAGGTGTTTAAATATTTTTTCTGGAAAACAAATCATTGTAGTGTTTGTTGAACACTCTTCAGCTTGTTCTGATTTTATTTTTATTTATTTGTTTATTTTATTATTTATTAATTAATTTAATACTGTAAATAAAACTCTTGCAGTAATGGGAATCGCTGAAGCATGCGCTATCGGTTTGAGAAATCTGTTTCATTATTATTTTTAAAATGCCAAACTTCTTCATGCATTTGTGTTTATGTGAAATATTATTCCTTCAATTTTTCTTTAGATTTTAAGGTGAAATGTGACCCAGATGTGTTTAGTGTCGTCATCTTTCTGATTTATGTATTCTGTATTTTGTGTGGTCAGGTTACAAGCCGAACGATTTTAACTGGGAGAAATATCTGGAGGCCTGTAACGCTCAAGCAGCACCAGAGAACCTCTTCAGATCCAGCGTAAGTCCGTCATTACCAGTGTTGAGGGAAACACGAGTTACGTAATCAGATTACTTTTTTAAAGTAACTAGGAAAGTAACGCATTACTTGTTAATTTAGAAGGAAGTCTGAGTTACTTTGTTTCCATGTGTTGAGTGACAGCTCTGGTGTTGCCATGGTGACAGAAATCAGGAGTAAGTGCAGAGTGTTGTGTGTGAACATGATCTTACTGTAGTTCTAGACTAAATATCGACATGTGTTTACTCATCTCACTGCACACAAACACATTCAGTGTTCCTCAAAATCTATAAAAACAGTCAAATGCAAACTCAGAATATTATACAAACCTGCAATAATTGTTAAATAAGACAAATATAATTTGTATTTAATCCCATTTTATTAACCAGTGTCTTTACTACTGACCTTCGATGATCCACTTCAACCATACTAATAATCAAAAATGACACATTTGTGTTTAATTTTAGTTATTGCTGAATAGTGTTGAACTTTCTTCTCCTGCGTCATATTCTTCCTGAGATTAGTTTGAGCTGCGCCCTCTACTGTACAGACGTGAAATTACATTTCCTTCAGCTTGAGACGCATTCACTTCACTTTGTTGTGAAAGGGCTTTACATTTGTAAAAGAAGAACTTTTTATATTAAAAACAAACAAGCAAGCACTTCCCAGATTTAAAAAGTAACTCAAAAGTAACATAACGCATTACTTTCCATAAAAAGTAACTAAGTAACGTAATTCGTTACTTTTTTAGGGAGTAACGCAACACTGTAACGCATCACTTTTAAAAGTAAGTTTCCCCAGCGCTGGTCATGACTCACGACTCATCTGAACACAGATTAGAGATGTTGTGAATGTCACTAACGAGCGGTTTCTCGTCACAGGAGTCGAGCGGCTCGGTGTTTGAGGTGGGCATGAAGCTGGAGGCGGTGGATCGTAAGAACCCGTGTCTGGTGTGTGTGGCCAGCGTAGCCGACATCGTGGACCAGCGCTTCCTAGTGCACTTCGACAACTGGGACGACACCTACGACTACTGGTGAGGAACACTAACTAACCCGTCACAGTCATGCTAGTTAAACACACAGGCCTTCTTTATGTGGTTATACGGGTAAATGCCATGGTAATCCACTTATATCGTGGGAATACCATGATATTCCTTGAAGCAATGTTACCATGTATCTATATTACGTTGAAGTACTACATTTACAAAAACTGAAATAAAATAAATATAAATAAAAATGACAAAAAATGCAATTAAAATGAAGTCTGAAGATATAAAAATAACATCTAACATATGAATAAAAACTATAATAGTATGTAAATAATGCTAAAGTTCAAGTTGAATCATTAAATTCAATTAATTAAATTAATTAAATAACTGTAAAAAAAATTTGTTAAAGTAACTCTTAACTAAAACTAGAAGTAAAATAAAATAAATGAAATCTAAAAAGTAGTATTAAAAAGCACCAAAATGACTAAAACTGAAATAAAATAAATTAAAGATATATTGAAATGTTTAATAAAAATGACAAAAGCACATAAGAAAATTACTAAAGTTTAAATCAAATAAAAATAAATGAAAATGACAAAAGCACATAAGAAAATGACTGAAGTTTAAATAATATAAAAATAAATGAGAATGACAAAAGCACATAAGAAAATTACCGCAACTGAAATTAATTTAAAGATAAATTGAAATATTTAATACAAATAACAGAAAAAATGAGAAAAGCACCTTTGTACGCACGGATATTGCAAGACATATTAGCGTGGTAACGTTATTGTTGTTGTTGTTTTTTTTGGGTAAATCACGTTTTAGATAGGATGTCAACAACCGCTTAAAAATAACTGCATTTACTATGTACAGATAAGTGCATATGTATTATTTTTATTGTTATTTAATTCTAACATTATAACATGAATTGCAGTGAAACTGTTATACAGTTGAATTTATTTATAGCGTAGTCCAGTGTTTCCCAGGCGGCATGCAAACTCATTCTCTGCCAGCAGGAGGCGCTGTTGGAGTAGAGATCAGGGTTTCCCCGGTAACGGCTGCACACAAAGCAGCACTCCGCTCAAAAACACTGCTTTATCAGACATTACATGCAAGAAGATTACATGAAAATGACATCCAATTTTCTGAAGACAGTCGGTTTCCTTCAGAAATACAGTGATAGAAAAACACCCGCACTCAATGTATGGGAAACACTGTAGTCTCGTAATTGATTACAAACTGACTTTGTAATCTGACTTTGAGATTTGTAAGTTTGAAGATCTTTTTTATGCCCAAACACACACACTGACTAAAATTCAAAAAGTGAAAAAGCATAATAGGACCTCTTTAATACAGCAGTTTGATATTAACTAAAACTATTAAGCAAGCTGAAATAAAATATAAACATTAGATGAAAAACTTACATTTAAAAAAAACTTAAAGTGCAATGGAAATAAAATGTTTGTTAAAGATAAATAGAAATATTTAATAAAAAATTACAAAAGCATATATCAAAATTACTAAAAATTTTAATGAAAATTAAACTTTTAAAAATATAAAAATAAAAGCTAATTCAAAATCTGAAGGAAAATATATAGTAGTATATAAATAAAAGTTATAATGTTGTAGTTAAAGTTCATTTTAATTCACTGAAATTAATAACTGGAAATAAATGAAACTAAACCTTAACTAAAACTAAAGGTTTTAAATAAAAAACCTTAAGTAAAGTAAAGGTACGTAAAGGTCAAATAAAAATAAAATCTTAATAGGAACATGAAGTACTAAAACAATAAAAACTGAAATTAACAAATAAAAATGACAAAAGCACATAAGAGATAACTAAAAGTAGAATAAAATAAACAATAAATAAATAAAAAATAATTAATAAAAATAAATGAAAATGAAAATGACAAATGCAGATAAGAAAATTAGTAAAATTTAAATAAAATTAAAATAAATGAGAATGACAAATGCACAAAAGAAATTTACTAAAATTTAAATAAAATGAAAATAAATGAAAATGACAAATGCAGATAAGAAAATTAGTAAAATTCAAATAAAATGAAAATAAATAAAAATGACAAATGCACAAAAGAAATTTACTAAAATTTAAATAAAATTAAAATAAATGAGAATGACAAATGCATAAAATACAAATAAATTATAATGACAAATGCACATAAGAAATTTACTAAAATTTTAATAAAATTAAAATAAATAATGACAAATGCACATAAGAAAATGACTAAAATTTAAATAAAATTAAAATAAATGAGAATGACAAATGCAGATAAGAAAATTAGTAAAATTTAAATAAAATGAAAATCAATAAAAATGACAAATGCACAAAAGAAATTTACTAAAATTAATAAAATGAAAATAAATGAGAATGACAAATGCACATAAGAAAATGACTAAAATTTAAATAAAATTAAAATAAATGAGAATGACAAATGCA